TCCGCCTGCCTCTGCCTCCCGAGTGCTGGGATTAAAGGTGTATGCCACCACTCCTGGCTATTATTATTTTTTTATGTGTATATGTGTATTGCCTGCATGTAGGTAAGTGCACCCATGTAATGCAGTGCCGGAGGAAGACAGAAGAGGCTGTCGGATCCCCTGGAACTGGAGTTATGGACAGTTGTTAGCTGCCATGTGGGTGCTGGGATTCGAACCCGGGTCTTCTGCAAGAATAGCCAGTGTTCTTAACCGCTGAGCCATCTCTCCAGCCCCATTAAACTTTCTTTTAATGTAAAAAATGTGACTGTGCTTCGTGGGTCTGTTTCATAGCTGAATTTTTTCTGCTGTGTATACTTTGCAGAGAACGTGACTATCATTCCTAACCAGGTCTATCAGCCCCTGGGTCCCTGCCCTTGTGACTTAACAATCGGGGCCTGTGACATTCGCTGCTGCTGTGACAAGGTATGTTATTCCTGATTATCGGGCACCAAAGTTATAGTACCTGATAGCATGTGGGAACACCAACAGCTCCTCCCCAACAGCTTTCAGTGGGTGACCATTGAGATTTCCATTTTGTGAATATTTTGTTTTTTCTTATTTTTTTAGAGAGGTTCTCAAGTTAGTCCAGAACTCATTTTGTAACCAAGGATGGCCTTGCACTCCTGATCCTTCTATTGCACCTCTGAGTTGCAAATTACATTTGAATTGAGTATTTTCTTTTAATTTTATTTATTACTTTTATTTTATGTGCATGCATATATTGCCTGCATGTAGGTAAGTGCACCCGTGTTGTGCAATGCCCGCAGAGGTCAGAAGAAGCTGTCGGATCCCCTGGGACTGGAGTTACGGACAGTTGTTAGCTGCCATGTGGGTGCTGAGATTTGAACCCAGGTCTTCTGCAAGAACATCCAGTGTTCTTAACTGCTGAGCCATCTCTCCAGCCCCTGAATTAAGTATTTTCTTATCTGTATTATAGTTTATGGAGGAAAGAAGAAAGTCTTTTTTTTTTTTTGGAAAAAGTAATGTTTTAGAAAATTAAATTATAGCTAGAGCGTGAGTTTACTATTATTAAACATTTATATATAATTTATTGTGTCTGTGTGTGGAGGTGCACACACATGTGAGCATGCCACATGTCACAGAAATCCACCTGCCTTTGCTTCCTGAGTGCTGGGATCAAAGGTGTGCGCCTCCATGCCCACCTGTTGTTACTGGTTTTGAGACAGGTTCTGTGTAGCCCTGGCTGGCCTGTAACTTACTGTATGTGTGTTATATTTCAGTCTCAACAAATTTACTTCTTGAATCACATTGTAGAAGAGTAACAGGCAGAGAGCTGTGTGCTGTTGTTGTTTTGAGACAGGGTTTCATGTAACTGAGGATGACTTTGAACTCCTGATCCTCTTGCTTTTATCTACCATGTGCTAGGGTTACAGATGTGTGCTACCACACCCAGCCAAAAAAAAGTCAAGGATATATAATGTCTACATTTGATGTTTTTGGAGATAAATCTGCATGAATGAACTCATCACAACTCTATAAGCTCATCCCTCACCTCCACATATTTCTTCCCACTTTTTTGGTGGGTCACAAAATTTTACTTTTGATATTGTGATTTTGTTGCTTTGTTTCTTAATATATGAGGAATTGTAGTGCATGCTTGTGATCTCAGCACTAGGGGAGGTAGGGGCAGGTCAGGCGTTACAGGCCAATCTTGGTAACTTAGTGAGAATAACCTTTTGCAGTGGCTGTTTTTCAGGGGTCTTTAATTAGGTGCTCATTATGTTAAAGTGACATACAGCCATGTGCCACCATTCCACAGTGGTATGTTTTGAGAAATGCATTCACTTGTGTCATCATACATTCTCGCCTACACAAACTAAGAATCACTTCCTGGGGTGTACCTGGTTTGTCTTTGACTGAAGTGTCATATGCTATATGCCTGGAACTTCACCTCCTTCACTAATAGCCTTTGGAGTTTGTTGTATACTGTGGGAACAGCTACTGGCAGAATTAATACTCTTTTTTAAAAAAAAAATACTTATTTTATGTGTATGAGTGTATTTCCTGCATGTATGTAAGTACACCTGTGTTGTGCAATACCTTTGGAGGTCATGGAACTGAAGTTGCAGATGATTGTTAGCTGCCATGTGGGTGCTGGGAATCGAACCCTGGTCCTCCACAAGAGCAGCCAGTGCTCTTAACTGCTGAGCCATCTCTCCAGCCCCCAAATTTAATACTCTTTTATGAGCTGGGTGTGGTAGCATACCCTGCAATCCCAGCACTGGGAAAGCAGGATTGCTTTGAACTTGAGGCAAACCTGGTCTATATAGTGAGACCCTGTACCAAAATAACAAGCAATGGGCCAGTAAAATAGCTCAGTTGGTAAAGATACAAGCCGCTCAAACCTGAAGACTTGAGTCTAAGCCCCAGAACTTATGGAAAGGTGGAAGGAGAGAACTGACTCCACAGAGTTGTCCTCTAACCTCCACATGTGTGCCATGGCACATGATTCCCCCCACCCAAATATGCCAGGGTGGTAGTACACACCTTTAATCCCAGCATTCAGGAGGGAGAGGCAAGTGGATTTCTGTGAGTTGGAGGCCAGCCTGATCTACATAGCTAATTCCAGTCTAGTCAGGGCTACATAGTGAGCCTCTGTCTTAAATAAATAGGGCCTGGAGAGATGGCTCAGTAGTTAAGAACACTGGCTGCTCTTGCAGAGGACCTGGGTTTGATTCCCAACATCCACATGACAGCTAACAACTGTCTCTAATTCCAGTTCCAGAGAATCTGATGCCCTCTTCTGTCCTCCAAGGGCATTGCATGACATGGGTACATTTATACACCTGCAGATAATATGCTCATACACATAAAATAAAAACAATAAATAAAATATTTTTAAAAAGCTGGGCATGGTGGTGTATGCCTTTAATCCCAGCCTGGCCTACACAGCAAGTTCCAGGCCAGCTGGGGCTACATGGAAATCCTATCTCAAAAAATAAAAAATAAAAAAACTCACCACTGCCACCAACGAAATCCTAACCATAACTACATAAATATAAGTAAGTAAATAAGCTAGGCGTGGTGGTGGACACCTTTAATCTCAGCACTCGGGAGGCAGAGGCAGGCGAATCTCTGTGAGTTCAAGGCCAGCCTGGTCTACATAGTGAGTTCTAGGACAGCTGGGGCTACAGGGAGGCCCTGTCTCAAAAAGACCAAAAAAAAAAAAAGTAAGTAAATAACAGATAAACAATATTCTGTATCAATGACATCTCTAGATAGCCCCAACTTGCACTTTTTGCACAGTTTTAATTTATTTTTATTTTTTATTTTGCAGTACTGGGGATTGAACCTAGGGCCTCACACAGGCCATGACTGAGGAATATGCTCAGCCCTTTTATTTATTTATTTTCTTTTTCAAATTTTGAGACATAGTCTTTCTAAGTTGCCAAGACTGGTCTTGAACTTTTGATCTTCCTGCCTCAGTCTCTTAAGTAGCTGAAATTACTGGCCTGTGCCACTGTACCTGGCTCTTGTACTGATTTTTAGGGGCACATCTACATTCCTACTAAAGCTTGAAGACTAGAAGTTTGTGATTTGGAGCCTCACTAGGGAATTGACTAAGAAACTCATGTTTGTGTGTGTATACATGTGAGTGAATGTGGGTGTGGGTGCACATGTATACATGCACTGTGGAAGCCAGAGGACAACCTCAGGTGTTGTTCTTTAGGCACCAACCATCTTTTTTTTTTTCTTTTTTTTTTTTTAAAGACAGGGTCTCTTACTGAACTGGAGGCTTGCAGAGTAGGCTAGGCTGGCCGGCCAGTGAGGCCCAGGGATTAACCTCTTTCTTGTTCCCCAGCACTAGGATTAAAACCATTTGCCACCACACCTGGCCTCTTTATATAGGTTCTGGGAATCAAATGCAGGACCTCATGTTTGTGAGGCAAACATTTTATTGAATGAGCCATCTTCCCAGCCCCGAGGACCCCTTCTTGGTGCACAAACCACTTTGGGAAGAGATGGAGATTGTATTTGTTTTTCTCTTACTGAGTTCATGCTGGTGGCCTCAGAGGGTATGTCATCATGCTTGCCGTGAGTCATGACCAGTGTTACAGTGAGAGCTCATGTGTCCTCACTGTCCCTTCCATCTGCTTTTAAGGACTGCTGGCCAGAAGTGAGAGAGCTGTTCGGGCAATCCTGCTTCTCAGGTGTGTTTGGAGGAGATGTCAGCCCTCCATTTGACCAGCTGTGTGCAGTTGGCACTGCTCATCAGGCTCCTGACTGGTTTCCCTTCCTATGTGTGCAGTCGCCCCCCTCCACCTCGCCCTTCCTCGGTCTCTTCTATCATGGTGCCATGTGAGTACCTGCTTCTGCCTGCGAGGGTGCTCCCCACAGTCACCAGGTCCTGTCCACTGGGTCCTTGACTCACATATTTCTCAGCACCTTAGAGAAGTTTTCTGAAGGTTTCAGTTATTGAGATCATTTCTTCTGAAATGTTGGAAAGAACCGAAGAAATAAATAGCAGATAGCCAGCAGTTAGCAGCGACTTTCCAGGGTGGAGAAAGGAGTCATGGCTCTTCTGTTTTATAGTTCTGTATCTTCGAACATCCTTGTCTGTGATTGCTATAAATAAAAACAATGAAGAGTGGGGATTGGTGGAACATGCCTGCAATCTCAGCAATCAGGAGACAGAGATAAGAGGATTAGGAGTTCAAGGTCTTCCTCAGCTATAGTGAGTTTGAGTCCAGCCTAGGCTATGAGACTCTGTCTCAGGACAAAAAGAAAACAGTAGAAATTAAAGGGTGGATTGTGTTTCAGCAGATCATGGTTAAAGTGTTAGCAATTGTCTTTTTTTGCAGTGTTGGGCATGGAACCTAAGACTGTGCACAGGCTCAGCAAGCCCTCTGCCTGCCCAGTGATAATCTTTCTTATGAACTTGTAGTTCCCCTAGATACCAGCCTGCATTTGAAGCTTATCTGCATCCTGACCTAAGAGACTTTTCAGATGCCAGTTACAAACAAGGAGAGCCAATCATGACCACAAAGGAGTATTTTACTATCCCTCAGGTAACACCTTCCATTTTAACTTGCCAATTTAGCTCGTGTCACTCTCAAAAATCTCTCTGTAAGGAGCTAGAGAGATAGTTCAGTGGTTAAGAGCACTGACTGCTCTTGCAGAAGACCTGGGTTCAGTACCCAGCACTCACATGGTGGCTAACAACTGTCTGTTCACTCTAGTTCCAGGAGATCCAGTGCCCTCTTCTGGCCTCGGTGCACTTACATGCATGTGAGCAACATACTCATACACATAAAATAAAAATAAAATAAATATTTAAAAATTAAAAACATCTCTTAGGGGCTGGAGAGATGTCTAGGAACACTGGTTGTTCTTACAGAAGACACAGGGTTCGAATCCCAGCACCCATATGGCAGCTAACAACTGTCCGTAACTCCAGTTCCAGGGCATCTGATGGCCTCTTCTGTCCTCTGCGGGCATTGCACGACGTGGGTGCACTCACCTACATGCAGGCACTACACTCATACACATAAAAAAATATCTTTCAAAAGAAAACTAGATGTCTCTATTTGATAAAGGTAAGTATAAATTACCTTAGTTTTGCTGTCATGGGAGGGGATAATCAGTATTTTTAAAAAAATTTTTAAATATTTTATTATTTTTAGTTTATGTGTATAGTGTATTGCCTGCATGTAGGTGAGTGCACCCGTGCTGTGCAATGCCGCAGAGGTCAGAAGAGGGCTTCAGATTCCCCTGGAACTGGAGTTAAGGACAGTTCATAGCTGCCATGTGGGTGCGGGGGCTCAAACCTGGGTCCTCTGCAAAAGCAGCCAGTGCTCCCAACTGCTGGGCCATCTCTCCAGCCCAATAAATAAAATATTAAAAAAAATGGGCTGGAGAGATGGCTCAGTGGTTAAGAACACTGTTCTTGCAGAGGACCCGGGTTTGAGTCCCAGCACCCACATGGCAGCTAACATGCAAACACATAAAATTAAAAAAAAATTTCTTAGCTTAGAAGCTACTTATTATCTTCCTCCTGTGGATTTTTCCTGGGTATTAACTATTAGTAGTTCCTACCTTTGCTAAATGTAAGAATGAACTTGTAAAGTAAAGCAAGAGACCTCCATGGAAGTGGTCATTCTTCACTTCTCTTAGTTTGAGAGCCTGCTTCTTTTTTTTAATGTTTCTTCAGTGCTGTAGCTGGTTCCAAGGCCTCTGTATATGCTAAGCAAGGGGTCTATATCCCCAGCTCCACCAATTTAAAATGAGCTATAAATACATGAGTTTACATAACATTCTAGTATTTTGAAACATGTTTTTAAGATTACAAGGTCTTGGGCTGGAGAGATGGCTCAGCAGTTAAGAGCACTGACTGCTCTTGCAGAAGACCCGGGTTTGATTCCCAGCACCCACATGGCTGCTACGAACCATCCTTAACTCCAGTTCCAGGGGAATCCGAAGCCCTCTTCTGACCTCCATGGCATTGCACGACAAGGGTGCACTCACCTACATGCAGGCAATACACTCATACACATAAAATAAAAATAATAAATAAAATATTAAAAAAAATTACAAGGTCTCGCCAGACACAGTGGCACACATCTTTAATCCTAGCACTTGGGAGGCAGAGGCAGGTGGATCTCTGTGAGAGTGAGGCCAGCTTGGTCTCCATAGTGAGTTCCAGGCTAGCTGGGGCTATAGGGAGACCCTGTTTCAAAAGACCAAAAAAAAAAAAAATTAAGGTCTTATATAAAGTCTTAATTTTTTCAAGTCACACATTTGGAAAACATTTGTGGGCAGAAAGCATGGAATTCACAACAGTTCATCTTTATTATATCTATGAACCTGTTTTTAAGAACTGAAGCCATCTGGGTTTTAGATGAGAGGGCTCAGCAGCAGAGTTCATGATTATCCTATTTGGGACCTAGATTCTCCCACCCTCCAGAAAATCAGGTTACAGTTCAGGAAAGAAGGTGAAGTGAATCTAGTCATATCTTTGTATATTAACTGGATGGGGCTAGAGACTGTCCCTCCTTACATTAGAGAATCTTACTGTGAGTAGCAGCTTCCAGATCTTGGCTTAGCAAGTTGACCAGATGTTTCCTGAAAGTGGTTCACCTTGAGAATAAACTTTTGAAATTATTATCCATCAATAGGGGCCGGCAGCAGGAAGAACAGCTGGGGAAAGGGGTTGAGGCAAAGTCTCACACTAACCTAGGCTGGTCTTGAACTCAGGCCTCAAGAGTGCTGGGGTTACGGTTGTAAGCCACCATGCTCAACAGAAAGACTGACTGTAAGAGACTCTGATCAATGTTACTCAATGGGAAGAAGGGCATAAATGTGCTGAGTTTGTCCCTTGCCCTCAGGTGTCCCTGGCTGGGCAGTGCCTGCAGAATGCTCCAGTGGCTTTCCTTTGGAATTTTGATATTAAATGCAGTACAGATCTAGAAGGGTACCAAGAACAAGATGACATCAATGCAGACATAAAGATCCGTTCCATGGGAGGTAGGATATGCTTGTTCAAGATAGAACGCTAATTGTTAGGAGAGGTGCTTTTTTGTGAATCTAAGTCTTGCATCAGTTAATAAAGATGTTTCAGCTGTCAGTTGAGGATGGTGTTTTCCTTAAGAAAATCCTATTTGATCAAAGAGCACCCTGCATGTGCCGTGTTTGTCCCTCTGTGCTGGGGAATGGAACCTAGTGTTCTACTACTGAGCCACATCCCCTGCCTCAGTTCTTTTTCTTTTCTTTTCTTGGTCTTTTTGAGACAGGTAGACCCTGTAGACCCAGCTGGCCTGGAACTCACTATGCAGACCAGGCTGGCCTTGAACTCACAGAGATCTGCCTGCCTCTGCCTCCAGAGTGCTGGGACTAAAGGCGTGTACTACCACACCTGGCTCCTGCCTTTCTTTAAGTGAGTGGCAGTCAGTGTATTCACAATATTGTGTACCTTATACCTCTGGGTAGCTTCAAATCTTTCATCCCCTGGAAGGAAAACTATTGAGCAGTGAGCCACTGGTCTGTTGTTAGTTGTAGATTTTCTGTGCTGACTTTTCACATCAATGGATTCATTTATTAACTTTGTGTCTAGCTTCTTTCACTTATCTCATGTGTTCAAGGTCCATCCACTTTTAAGCATGTGCTAGGGCTGCATTCCTTTTTTAGGATCAAAGACTATTTCACTGCATGACTAGACCACCAGTTGCTTGTTTTTGTGAATTGGTGGTTGCTTGAGTTGTTGGCACCTTTTGGTCTTGTGATGAGTGCTGGAATGACCACCGTGGGCAAGTTTTCCTGGCCACAGTCCTAGGAGTGTATTACCATGCTATGCAGGTTATTTGATGTTTTGAAGGAGCACCAAACTTTTCCAAGGTGGCTGCTTTCCCTTTACATCAACCCTGCAGCTCTTGGGAGAGCGACATAGTAGGTGTTGGGACTGACTATTGCCATCTCCTCTGCAGTTAGAACAAGATGCAAGAGGGGCTGGCGAGATGGCTCAGCGGTTAAGTACACTGGTTATTCTTAAAGAAGACCCAGGTTGGAATCCCAGCACCCACATGGCAGCTAACAACTGTCCATAACTCCAGTCCCGGGGGATCTGACAGCCTCTTCTGACCTCCACGGGCATTGCGTGACACGGATACACTTACCTACATGCAGGCCATACATGCATACCCATAAAATAAAAATAAATTAAAAAAAAAGAATAAGATGCAAGAGCAGAGGGATCCCAGCTAGTGACCATTTAAGATTTGGGAGAGTGCTGGGGGTGTGGTATCATAGTAGCTTTTTAAAAAATTTTTGAGATAGGTTATATCCTATGCTGGCCTCAAACTTACTATGTAGCTGAAGATGACCTTGAACTAATATCCCTGCCTCTACCTCCCAAGTTCTTGGATTGCAGGTGTATGTCACCATGCCTGGCCCAATATCAGCTTAATAAACCTTCCTTTTAGCAAGTAAATGCGACTGTGATAGATCACGTGGTGCTGTGGAAGTTAATTTCTATGTTTTTTAGGACTAGTCACACCAACAGTAGTCTATGAGGAAGCTGCTGACCTGGACAAATTCATCACCAGTGCAGGTACGTTAATGTTCTACATCATGCCATCTCCACAGAAACATAGGAACCATTTCTGTTTTGCTTTGCTTTGTTTTGTTATTTGTTTTGTTGTTGGTGGTGGTGGTTTTGTTTTTGTTTTTGTTTTTTGGAGACAGGGTCTCCCTATAGCCTGAACTAGCCTGGAACTCTCTATGTAGACCAGGCTGGCCTCAATCTCATAGAGATCCACCCACCTATGCCTTGAAAGTACTGGGATTAAAGGTTATGTACCATCACACCCAGATATTATTTTTGTTTTTTGAGACAGGGTCTTGCTAGGTATCCCAGGTTGGCCTTGAACTCATAGCGATGCTCTTGCTTAGCCTCATGAGTGCTAGGTGCACAGGCAGGAGCCACCATGCCTCATATGTGTCATTTCTTCCTAGTGTGGTATAGCGCCGAAGGAAAATACATTCTTATTAAGAACTGAGGGAAGGGAGCATGTCTCCGTGAGTTCAAGGCCAGCCTGATATATTTCCAGACATAGTGAGACATTGTTTAAAAAAAAAAAAAAAAGAACTGAAGTGGGGGCTGAGGAAATGGCTCAGTTGATGAAGTTCTTGCCAGGCAAGCAGGAGGACCTGGGCGTGACCCCCCCCCCCACATCACCCATGTAAAAGCTGGGGTTACAGGTACAGGCCACTGTGCCCAGTACTGTTGTTCACCTGTACTCTCAGGTCCAGAGAAGTAGAGATAAGAGGATCCCTAGGCCTCACCAATCACCCACAGAATAGGTGATCTCCAGGTTCAGTGAGAGACCTTGTCTCAAAGAATAAGATGGAGGGCTAGAGAGATGGCTCAGTGGGTAACAGTGCTTGCCACTAAGCCTGAAGACTTCAGTTTGATCCCTGAGACCCACATGGTGGAGAGAACCAACACCTGAAAGCTGTCCTCTGATCGCCACATGTCAGCCCACAGCCACCCCCCACCACAGGCACACATAAATAAAAATGTGAAAAATAGCCAGGCGTGGTGGCGCACGCCTTTAATCCCAGCACTTGAGAGGCAGAGGCAGGCTGATCTCTGTGAGTTCAAGGCCAGCCTGGTCTACATAGTTCCAGGTCAGCTGGAGCTACAGGGAGACCCTGTCTCAAAAAGACCAAAAAAAAAGTGAAAAATATAAGATGGAGAGTGACTGAGGTGACACCAAACATTGACCTCTGGCCTCCACATGCACACATGTGCACATACATATTCATACAAAATAAATCTTCAAATAATTTAAAACTTAAAATTGGTGGAGAGTTGGGGAGCTGCTCCAGTGGAGTTGTGTAGTGTGTTATGCCTGGCTGGCTTCTGTGCACACTGATCTCAGCCACTTCCTTACAGGCCTTGGTGGGAGGAGCTATAGTACCCTTTCAGGTCTCAGGTTCTGTGAGCCTTTTCAAAAACACCTTTCAGGTGGATAAAGAGTCCTCGAGGGTGTAACATCTTCATTTCTTGCTTTAAAAAAAGTCTTGTGTATGTGTTTGTGTATGCTGTATGTGTCTGTGTATGATTGTGTGTGTGTGTGTGTGTGTGTGTGTGTTTGTGTGTGTGATTGTGTTTGGGTATGATGGGTGTGTCTGTGTATGATGATATGTGTTTATATATGATGTGTTTGTATATGATAATGTGTGTCTGTGTATGATGTGTGTTTGTATATGGGGTGTGTGTGTATGATGGGTATGTATTTGTGTGTGAGTGCAGGCATGTACACGGAAGTCAGAGGACAGCCTGGGGTATCCCTCTTGCCTTGCATCTTATTCTCTGCTGTATATTCAGGCTAGCGTTGGGAGTACAGATGCGCTACTGTGGTTGGCTTTATGTGGGTTCTGGGGATCTTAGCTTCTCTCCAGCCCCCATTCTTGCCTTTCTTGATAAACTTCGTAACTATGATGCAGCCAGAGAGGTTGTATAGAGTGTGGCTGATGTAAATATGCTTTTGTGTAGAGTGAAAGGTGTGCTTTGTGTTCCTTTGTGATGAGTTGTTTCTTCACCTCCACTGATAAGTGTTCAGCAGAGTTCTCACGGTATAGTGGCAGCTAGACCAGAGGCCTCCACTTCAGAAGCACAAGTGTTCCCAAGTGTATGCTTTGGGTCATGCTGTGAGCTGGGGCCTTTGGGATACCAGAATCAAAGGAAAGGAACAGAATCATTAAGGGAACAGTGATTTGATAGAGGATGGGACTAATGCTGACTCTGGACCAGAAGTGCCCTGGAGGAAGCAGTGGCCACACACTGTTAGGAGCTGGAGATGCAAATCTAGCCAGAGAGAGCCCCCAGGAACTGACTTGAGCTCAGAGAGGGTTTAATTTGTAAAAATAATCTTGTTTTTGCAGACATACTTTTAAGCAGTGGATCAGCCCCCAGAAACGTGACTATGGAAGAACATTATATTTTCCGATGGCATAATAATTCCATCAGTGAAATAAATGTCAAAATTATCAGAGCAAAAATCAGTGCCCACCAGAAAGGTAATGTTGATGAGGGGAAAGAATGCTTTCAGCTTTAAGTATCTTCCTTCCCTAAGATTTCAAAACTATAACCCTTAAAATGAAATTAGACTTATTTATTATGTGTTTATCATTTAATCAAGGAGAGCAGTATTTTTTTGCACATCAAATGTAATTTTGTACTAGGCATGGTAGTTCATACCTGTAATTCTAGCACTCAGGAGGCTAAGGCAGGAGGACTTAATAGAGTTCAAGACCAGCCTGGATTTCAAAGTGAGCTCAAGACCAGCCTAGGCTACATAGTGAGTTCAAGACTACCCTGGGTACATATAGTGAAGCCCTGTCTTAAAAGAACAAGAAGGGACTAGAGAGATAGCTCAGCAGTTAAGAACACTGACTATTCTTGCAGAAGACCTGGGTTCAAATCCCAGCACCCACATGGCAGCTAACAAATGTCCGTAACTCCAGTTCCAGGGGATCCAACAGTCTTTTCTGTCCTCTGCGGGCATTGCATGACACAGATGCACTTACCTACATGCAGGCAATACACGCATACACATAAAATTAAAAAAAACAAAAAAACAAGTGCTGGGTGTGGTGGCGCATGCCTTTAATTCCAGCACTCAGGAGGCAGAGGGAGGCGGATCTCTGAGTTCAAGGCCAGCTTGGTCTACACAGTGAGTTCCAGGACAGCTGTGCTATAGGGAGACCCTGTCTCAAAAAGAGAAAAGACAAAACAAAACAAAACAAGAAAAAGGTACCCTTTAAAGTAAATAGTAGCATGGGGTAGGGAGATGGTTCAGCTGGTAAAGGCACTTGTCACCAAGTCCAGTGACCTGAGTTTGACTCACATGGTGGAAGAGAATTGACTTTTACAAGTTGTCCTCTGACTTACACATGTGTGCCATGGCATGTGCACCCATGTACATATGTGTACACAAAGTAAATAAATAAAAAGTAATTTAAAAAAGAAAATAGTACCATGTAGGATAAGTTCTTTCTTTTGTTTGTTGTTTTGGAGACAAGGTCTCACTATGTAACCTTTATCGTGCATGGAATTCTCTGTAGACCAGGATAGCCTCAAACTCACAGAGATCTGCCTGCCTCTGCTTCCCAAGAGCGGAGGTTAAAGGCATATGCCACCTTGCCTGACTTGTTTTTGTCTTAATTCTTAGTTTTTCCAAGACAGGGCCTTGCTGTGTTGCACAGACTGGCCTCCATTTCAAGGCAGTCCTCTGCTGTGCGTCCCAAGTGCTGGGATTATGGGCATGTATCATCATCTTGTTGGGTTCATGGGTGATAATTTCTTTTCCCAGTGACAAGCTATGCATTATGTCTTTAATTGATTTATTTCTAGGAATAATGGCACAGCGATTTACGGTGAAGTTTTTAAGCTATAACAGTGGTCATGAAAAGGAATCTTCTGGAAATCCAGGTAGGATGAATATGACAGTCACTGGTCCTCAGGCAGATCATAAGGTGGCACTCCTGGGCTGTTATGAGAAACTACCCTCAACTGTGGCTCCTCACCATGACCTGTTCTTTATTCTCTGTGATACTTTTTTTTTTTTTCTGATGGTAACTTAATTTTTTAACACATAGTAAGTTGCTTTAAATGCAAGCTTTTTTTCTCTTTAGCTTCTGGTCTTTTGTTTAAAAAAATTTGGATATATTTATTTTTATTTTATGAGTATGAGTGTTTTGCCTGTATGTATGTGAGTGCACCCATGTCGTGCAATGCTGCAGAGGTCAGAAGAGGGCTTTGGATTCCCCTGGAACTGGAGTTAGGACGGTTCATAGCCACCATGTGGGTGCTGGGAATCAAACTCGGGTCCTCTGCTAGAGCAGTCAGTGCTCTTAACCCCTGAGCCATCTCTCCAGCCCCAGAGTTGGTTTCTTAAGAGATAATGAGCTACAGTTGGCAGATTCCTAACCCGGGACCCATGGGGTAGCCATGTGGCTTCTGAGAGCTCCACATTTTGCATCTATGTGCAGGCACACCACCACTACTTTGTTTGTTTCACTGCTTTGGCCTCCTCAGTGCCTAACACGGGGCTTAAACTGTGTGCTGGTATAGTCACCTGCCATGTGCAGTTGCCCAGCACTTGAAATGTGTGGTGGTCTTACACATAGAAATGCCGGTGTTTGTTATATATTATCTAAATATCTATTTCCCCTTTGTTTTTTTTGGAGAGGGGCAAGATCACACTGTGTTGTCTAAGACTGTCAAGAACTTGTGGCCTCCAGTGACCCTCTGCTTTGGCAGTCATGCACCCTGTGCCAGTACTTTCTTTTGGATAACGAGGTTACTAGAAAAGTTTGTGTACATCACATTCTTTTTCTCTGGTGCTGGGGATTGAACTAGGATTTTGCTTTGTTTCTGTTTTCAGTTGTGAGGATCAGACTTAGGGCCTCCTGTGCATTATGCCAGTGTTCTCTCACTGACCTACATTCTGGCACAGGGCAGTGTGTGTGTTAGAATAGGTGTACCACCAAGCTATTATCACCAACTAGATTTAAAAAATTTTTTTTAGGGCTGGAAAGATGGCTCAGAGGATAAGAGCACTGACTTGACTTCTCAAGGACTCAAGTTCTGTTCCCAACACTTACATGGAGACTCACAACCACCCAAAACTTCAGTTCCAGAGGATCCAGTGCCCTCTTCCAGCCTTCCCGGGCATTGCATGCATGTGTGTACTTACATACATACAGGAAAAACATTCATACATGGATGGGCGTGGTGGCACATGCCTTTAATGGGGCACTTAGGAGGCAGAGGAAGACGGAGCTCTATGAGTTCAAGGCCAGCCTGCTACATAGTGAGTTCCAGGCTAGCTGGAGCTACAGGGAGACTCTGTCTCCAAAAAAATTAGTAAAAACAAAAAGCATTCATACACATAAAAAGTAAAAATAAATAATTTATGTTATAAAAATGTTAAAGTATTTGTGTATGTATGTATGTATGTGAACGTATGTGTGCCATGGGACATATGTGGAGGTCAGAGGACAACATTGTTTCCTTTCATCTTGTGGGTTCTGGGATCAAACTCAGGTCCGAGGCTTGGCAGCATGTGCCTTTACCCACTGAGTCATCTTGCTGGCCCTAGATTATTATTTTTAAAATTTGTAAAACATTCTAAAAACATAGAGTAAAATTGCCAGGCAAGTGGTTCATGCCTATAATCCTAGCACTTGGGAGGAAGAGGTAGGAGGGTTTTGAGGGCAGCCTGGGTTACATAGAGATACCCAAAAACCAAACCCTTCAAAACAAAGCAAAAACAAAGAAGCAGCTGGTGCATATTGTCAGCAGAGTAACCTGGGAGTGGCTACAGAGAAAGATATGCTAAGGACACATGGTCCAAACAGCCAGAGGGGAGCTGGTGTTCAGGAATGGTGGGAAGTAAGGCAGGAAGCAGAGAAACAGTGCAGGGACCTTGATTGGATCTGGATTTGCAGAAACAGCTCTAAGGCACACTTAGGGGACATAGAGGGAAGTGTGAATATGAACCAGGTAGGATATTGCTGTGAGGAAATTTTTTTTTTTAATCTTTAAAGATTCTTTTTTTTTTTTTGTCTTTTTTGAGACAGGGTCTCCTTGTAGCCCCAGCTGTCCTGAAACTCACTATGTAGACCAGGCTGGCCTCAAACTCACAAAGATCCACCTGCCTCTGCCTCCCAAGTCCTGGGATTAAAGGCGTGCATCACCATGCCCGGTGAAAGATTCATTTTTATTTTAGGTGTAGAGGTTGCATTGTAGATGTGTCACTTAGGCCTGGGCAATTCATAGACAATGTCTGTGTGTGACCAGTTGTGGTACTTGGTAATACTCCCTGATTGGTGCACAACTTCTTTGATGAGTGGTGACTGGAATATTTGTCTGTAAATAAAAGGAAATTTTTTTTGGTCTTTTTGAGACAGGGTCTCCCTGTAGCCCCAGCTGGCCTGGAACTTGCTTTGTAGACCAGGCTGGCCTTGAACTCACAGAGATCTGCCTGCCTCTGCCTTCCAAGTGCTGGGATTAAAGATGTGCGCTACCACGCCCGGCAATAAAAGGAAATTTTAAATGTATGAGTGTTTGCCTGCATGTATGTATGTATACCTCATGTATACAGTGCCTGGGAAGGCCAGAAGAGGGCGTGGAATCTCCTGGAACTGGAGTTATAGATGTTTATAAGCCACTATGTAATTGCTGGGTACTGAACTCGGGTCCTCTGCAAGAGCAGCCAATGCTTTTAAACCACCAAGCTGCCTCTCCAGCCCCACCAGAATTCTTTTTCATATAGGAAATGTTGGTGCTGTAGTTATATATGTGGAGTTGCCTTCATTTTAGGAGAATTCAGAGGTGAAGTGTTATGATGTCTGTAGCTTATTTTCCAATAGTCTGGAAAAAAATTATATAAATATGTTTATCAAATATATATTATCCTGAGCCTCCTGCCTCTACTTTCTAGGTACTAGTATTATCGATGTTCTAAAATCATTAGTAAATTAAGAACTCAAAATAGTAAGTAGAAGCAACATCCTCCTGCCTCAGCCTCCTGTGTGTTGGGGTGACCAGCCCCTGCCCCTCTTCTGGCCGCAGGGGTGGTGTGTGGAATGCTCTGCCTCTGAAGTTCATCTCACTGTGCATTCCTCTTTCATGCTGTCTAATGGGATGCTGCTCATGATGTTCTGAACATGAGGATGAAAGATGCCAGTTCTTGTTGGTTGTGTTCGTTGTGTCTAGGTTACCAGTTTGGCAAGCCTGTCCGAGCCCTGCATACCAACATGATGAATGTCACTGCATTACACATTTGGCAGACAGGTAATATGGTTTTGCCCTTATGAGTCTCTCCCTGGTAGACTGGAGTTAAAAGTAGTTTCAGAGTTGTGATCTATGGAGGAATCACTTATTTTAAAGCCCATTTAGTTTATGATGTGTGTGGGGAGCTGCTTTTCGTGTTTCTGTGGCTTTTTTTTTTTTTTTTTTTTTTTGGGTCTTCATCTCTCAAATACTGTTTTGAAAAGGTTTTCTTAAATATAGTGCATTTTTCTTTAA